ATTCCAAAGCATAGAAAATGATCTCAATGATCATTCACTACAGATTTCAAATAATGAAGGTTGACAACTTCAATTGACCAACATTCGCGAATAAAAAGACTTCACGGACCGAAAATTGAAATAAAAAGACAAAGATAAATCAAAATGGAATGAGAAAGATTAGAATAAAAGATGGTCTCATCTTAACTATGGATTTTCATTGGTAAATTGACAATCCAATATATTAGACCTCCATGGACCAATAAAAAAAAAGAAAGTGATCGGAATCGAAGTGATAATGAAATGTCAAAATAGTATCAAGAAAAACAAATGAAAGGCTAAATTATTATTAAAAGTAAGTCTAAAAACCATGAAAAAGAATACAATCAAAAGAAACTAAGAAGAGAAAGAAATCAAAGAAAAAAGTGATAGAATAAGAGAGGAGATGGGGCATATAAGTAATCAAGGTGGGTGTGCATGACACAAGCATGGGCTACAAGAGCCCATCAACCCAAAACAAGATGGTGTAGCGAGGAATAAAGGGGGTTTGCTAAAAACCATACAGTCATTGGCTTAAAAGCTCATTTCACCAAAACGAGGACACGAATCACCAGCCAAAGAAGTCAAGCATAGTTTCCTTTAACAAGTGACAACAACAGTCATATCACATTTTCTTTCTTTCAAAACAAAAAAAAAAGAATAATAAAAACAAAGGAAAAGTTGTGCTCAGACCCGTTCATCATCATCATCGCACGTAACAAACAACGATCACAGGGAAGGAGAAAAAATGATTTGAAGAGATTCAACCTTTCTCCGTGTGTGATCGCTTCCTCCGTCTCATTCTCATTCAAATCGGAATCAACATTCAATCCGTTCGTTCCAGGTTGGTGTTTTGTTCGGATTTCGCAACAACGTCTTTTCTTCTACATCGATCCTTAGTTCTAGATTTGGTTTAGAACTTATTATTTTCCTTTCTATTATTTGTTCTGTTTCTAGTTTTACGGGTTATTGAAATTTGTGGTGGTTGTGGGTTTGATGATTGGAGGAATAAGGAGGTTTTAAATGAAGAAGGTGGTGTATGCAAGTTGTTGATTTTTGAGAAAATAATGAAGATGGTGGATTTACGAAGGTTGGGTCGAAGAGGAAAGGTTCTCTGCTCTTTATCCTTTATCGTTGAGGTTTGGTTAATGCTTATTTCAAAAAAAACGTCAGAAAGGAGAAAGGGGAAAACACCATACCAAATCCCCTTCAGAGGGTATTACCCTCTCCTTTTATCATGAGCAAAAAGTATTCTTCATAACAGTTTTGCGAGTTGTTTGGAATGGGTCCGTGTTACTGCATGAATTGCGGTTTTTATGGATGCATATGTGGGGTCCTTTTGTGAATTGATACAATGTTGCGTATTGCAGTATGTACGGAATTATGGAATGATTGGCATGAGGTAGCCTTGTGTATGGTTTTGTCATGGGGTATATCAGGTTTTGTGGCAGAACCTGAAATTTATTTTTGCCTGCAAGTTTGTGTGGGAAGTTGGTTCATGTATTTGGAAGGTGGATATGTGGTTTTAGGATGTTGTGTCTATGTTGCGTGGCTGAATGCTTGAGGTTTTGCAGGTGGTGAATATGGTTGTTGCAGGATTAAGCCGTGTTATGTTTGTCATGGTTGCCTTCTAGTTTTTTTTTTGTCTTTTGGGTCTTCATTTTTTTGTAATTTCTAATGGACTTGTTGGATTATGGGGGTGTAATAGAATATGATAATGAGAATGAACTTGAATCTTTTGCTGCAATGTAATATACTATAACTTTTTTTTGTTGCAATCTCTTGTTGGAATATGGACTTGTAACAAAAATAAATGGACTAAAAAAATGGTAAAGGGATTTTGTAATTTATGGATGTTGAAATGAATTTGAAAAAATGGCATATATATTTAAATTGGAAATGAAAATGGTTATGGAGAATGAGAAAAAAAATAATTGTATTTGGAGAATTGTTCTAAAAAAAAATTGGATTTGGATGAATATGGATATAATGGATTTAGATTTTTTAAATAAATAAATAAATAAAAGATATGGACAAGGAATAAAATGGATATAATGGACTTAGAATGGATAATGAAATAAATGGATAATGGATAAAAATGGATTTTAAAAAAGAGTAAATGGATAATGGTAAAAATGGATTAAAAAATGAGTAAATGGATAATGGTAATTGGTTTGGATGAAAGTGGTAATGAATGGACTGCACTGGAGACACAGTGAATCAATCTCAGCCTTGAATCATAAATCACTCTTGATGAACTTCGCTACAGATCCTAATTAAAATGAACTACTTGTTGAGAATCTTCAGTCAGGAAGACTCTATACAACCTGATAACCTGATCCCACCATGTATAACCTGAATTCACATGTAAACCCTAGTTGAGAAGTGAACTGGATCCTGATGATCATCAACCATGAAACACTTGACCTTAACACAGTCTGTTAATTTGATCCACACACAGATGACCTGAAATGGCACATAAACTCTAATTAAGATGAACAGATCCACATGATTCTCCACCATGAAACATCTGAATTTGGCACAACCTAACAACTTGATTCATACACAAATGACTTGTCATGAAACCAAGCTTGCATGACCAATCAAATTACATCAACATCACTCAACAATTGTCTGGGTCACTCTGAATTCAACCTTGCATAACCCTAAGATTAAACAACAAGTAGGAGCAACATATTTTTTTGGATTTTTTGGATAATGATTAGTGGATGAAAGTACAGAGGAAAGTAATGTACTGGTAGGACAAATTTGGGGTATGACATGCATAAAATGTACCATTACGCGTGCCAATTTGTTCGCAAGTGTTTTTAGCGAAGAATCACAAGTTTAAAAATCTATGAGATTAACTTGAAAGATCTTAGGAACAATTATGTGCAAACACCTTTACGAGAAAATATGTATATGAAGTGACTATGAATACCCGTGTACAGACAAGACAACGACAAACTTTAAGGATAAATAACTTGAATTAAAGTAAAAGAACCTTGCAATAAACAACATTAAATAAATGCAGTAAATGACAAAAAGTAAAGATGTTTTAATTAAGAAAACATAAAGATAATACAATAAAGGGGACGTAGACTCACACGTCACTCACAAAATGTTTCACACTTTGGTTTGGATATTCCAATTCTATAGAGAAAGTCTATAAATATTGAGACCTTGATTACAATATATGAAACTGCTATATATACTAACTAAAGATAACTATCTCCGACAGTTTACTCTTAAAGAATCAATAAGTTTACAAAGACATTCAAATTAATCTTTTGATGCACTGGCACATCGTCAGTACTTGAAAATTGCTTAAAGTCATTATCCCCCGTTCTTAATTGCTTTTAGCGACTAGTAATTATCTACTCGTCGAAGGTGGTTGTTGATAGTGCTAAGCCCCTTCTTTAGTCTTTGATTTCCCCAATCTTCTAAGTCTTTGGTGTTTGTCAAACGCTTCAACCTCAACATGGTATTGAGTGATCACTCTGATTTGTTCCTGAGACTCCTCCAATTTATATCTCAAGATCTACTCTTGAGATTCTTCCAAATCATGGTTCAAGGCACCAATCGAAACGCTCCAATCGACGTACCCATTCTTGGCGACTTATGTCAATCAATCTTGATCTTACCGGGATCAGTAGTTCAATGAGCGGGCAGCAACACATCGTGAGCTCCAAATTCGCCGGTGATGGAGAATAGGAGAGGGTGTACCTGCAAGACACTCTGATGGCAAAGTGAGGTTCAGAGTGAAAAAAAGAGCAAGTACATAATAATGTGTTTAGAATACCTGACCCTCCTGTGAAGGAGGGTATTTATAATGTGCCTCCAGCGCTGGGCCAACGGTCATCTGCTGTGGTTTAGATCGTTAGGCCTACAACAGATGATTGCCAGGATTCTACGTGGAAGTAGGGAAGACTAGCACATGGTCTTCGTCCTGGGTCAATTGTCCCACGAACTCAGGGAAGTGGAAGACTTGTTCTTATGACGAAAGCGTCCTGTGAAGGGCGTGGGTTCAGTTCGTGACGCGTTCCCGCATGAGGAGCACGCGGAGAACGTGTGAGGAGCGTGTAGAGACTGTGTGGAGAACGTGGTCTCCAACGACTATGGAGGATTAAGCCTGTGTTGGACCCTCCTCAACGCGGAGCTGGACTGGACTGTGCTCGATGGTGGGCTAGTCCTCAGGCCCAGTCCAAAACAAATGCTAACACTTAGCATTTTCCCAATGCAGCATTCAGTTGACATTTTTCAAAGTGAAAATACTAGGCTAACACTGTGCAAATCTCTTAACGGTCATGTGGGGTAGACTCTAAGGTTAGAACTCCAACGCATAAATTGGTGAATTATAAATTGGTGAGTTAATAAAAAAAGATAAAATGAATTGTGTTCTAAATCATATCTTAAACTGCACACACGTTATAAAATTTTTAAAAGTGAGAATCAAACTCACAACATTTAAGTTGCAAAAACATTTTTGTTTCTGATGTGCTACTCTATTATGATTAAAATAAAAATCATTAAATTGTATATAAACACATTTTATAATTTTTTTTCTCTAAACATGTATCATTTATTTTTAGACCATGAATATTGAAGGTCTTGTGCGTTAGGTTTGTTTGTTTGCACACTCATAGAGCCGGGCCCGTGCATTCATAATCACATCCTTCCAGTCATTCAATTAACTAGAGACAGCATGAACAACAACTATTCCAATGTCCCCAAAAAGATTCTGTATTTTGTTTCTTCACAAAAAATACATGCTGGAACTTTATCCACGTTCATCTTACGTGAACCATAGGGTATAAAACATATACACTTTGACTATTATCCTACCTAAACTTACATGAACAACAAAAATAATAATTAAAAAAAAAAAAGTCTAGATATAAGTATATGACGTAACCTTATCTCAATCCACTACTATTATAAAATTTACATAATTTTTTCCTGTACTTTTATGAATATGTTGGTTAACTAGCACCACGGTTAATCATGTTTTGGTAGTGATTTAATAATGATTCTTCTCTTTGCAACCTCATTTGGTGATTGAAGTTTTGAATAAACGTTTCGACCCGTTTATTCAACTCGTCTTGACTCAGCGACGGTTCTTTTCTCAGCCTCACACTCTTGTTCAAGTTGAAATCGCTGACAAAATCTTCTGATTGATGTGGGCCCACGTTATAACGGTTTTGCCACGTGTCATACTTTTTCATGTGTCTACTTAACGGTATTGACCGACCCTCCGTTATCGTCTTCCACGTGCTCTCCAACGTCTCGTGCCGTTTTTGCTTCGCGGCGACCTTCAACGCTTTCCCACCTGTAACAAAGTAAACGCCATGCACTTTACAAAACGACAACACCTTTTTTTCCTCGTTATTTTATAAAAATAAATCATAAAACAAAATGTAAGAAATTGTTGATACCTTCGGGGTTGGATTTAAGAGGTTTCCGGTGAGTGAACCTAGAAGATACTAGGGGTTTATCGATTGTCGGGAGATATTCCGGCGAGTCCATCGTGTTTGGAGGCGAAACTCCGAGATCAATATGTTTGGTCTGTTCTTCTATGTCTTGATCTTTGGGCGCGGGTGAAATGTTAAGGAGGACAGTGTTTGCGACGTGAGGAGAGGGAGAAATGGTGGAGTCCAGCATTGGATTGTTTGGTTGGGTGTTGGATTGGTGAAACTTGGAGGAAACAAGGATGAAGATGATGATGGCGTTGAGGGTAAAGATGAGATATGGAGGAGTGAAGCACAAAAGGAAAAAGGTCCATAGGAGATGGAGGTGAGTGGTGGCCAGTGAAAGAGAGGATTTGAATCCCAAGGAAGTGAAAATAACGGCGGTGGAAATGAGGAGAAGTTTGAGAGAAAGCATTGTTGTTTTGAGTTTGAAGAACAGAAAGAACACAGTGATGGAGGAATGAAGTTTGAAACAGAATTTATAGAGAGGGAGTGTAGTGTACAGACAAGAGAGAGTTTACATTCAATGTCAGCCATTGGATTTACGCGTGGGACCCACTGCTTCTCACTTTGTTATAACATTAACTACTTGTTGACGTGATGACTGGTGACCAACTCTATATGACTTTGTGTTTTATCTTTAAAAAACTATTTTGTCATATATTTTCAAAAATTGATTTTATAAAGCCGTTTATTCAAAGTATTATAAAAAGTATTCTTTTTTTTAAATTGAAAAATTAATTTCGACATTATATAACATAATTATATATTATTTAAGATTAAAATATAGTCAAAATTATAATTTTTTTAAAAAGTCGTATCTCAAAAATAAATTTTATGAAAAATTATTTAAAATAATTTCAAAATTAAGTGAATTTTTGAAATTTTAATATCTAAAAAAGTTTCAATAAAATAATAAAATATTCAAAATAACATTTAAGAATAATTATTCAAACTAAATTTTTATTTGAAACTTTTATAAAATAAATTTTCGTAAGTTCTTTTTACACAAAATTGTGTTACACTTTAAAAATTATTTTTAAAGAAAACCAAAATAAACGAGCCCATATTTTTGTTTAAAGACATGCTTAAGAAAAGATAATTTTTTAATGTATCTTATGTATTACTAGGGCACCACGTAAAAATAGAAAAATGCCTCAAGAATTTAAAGACGCGTCTTCGGACGCACCCTAGATCAATAGAAGTCTGATTTAATGTGAAAAAACTACAGAGATGCATCACTGAGCGCTGCTTGTACATAACGCTACGATGAGGTAAAATTCGTTGGATTCATTATTTTTAAATTATGTTAATTATTGTATTACATGTTTCTGACGATGATTTATTTTTCTGCATGACCGTGATCTGCTGAAATTTATTAACCATGGGACTAAGATTAATGGCTTGCATCAACCTACTGACGAGTGGTTTCAAAGTGCTTTACAACTATCTAGGATGAAGGACTTATGCAATAACGATTATCTTACGATGAACCATGGGATGCTTAATGAATTTGTAGAAAGACGACATACTCAGACCTCATCATTTCATCTACCACTTAGTGAGATGTCTATCACATTCGACGATGTTTCGTGTCTGCTGAATCTTTTGATTAGGGGAAAGCTTTTAGATCATGGAAGGATTAGCAGAGATGAGGAATTTAATTTGATGGTAGAATATTTATGAGTTGACCCAGACGCTACCTTGAGGGAGTTTGTAGCCACTAGATAGGATCATGCTAGGTCTCGATTCCTGGAGAAGGTATATACATATAAGATGGTTAGAGCAAAGCAAGTTGCTAGTGGTGAGGAGTGGGTGGGGCAACATAGAGTGTATTCTATAAGAGGATACTTGTTATATTTAGTTGGCATTGCCATTTTTATGGATAAGAGTTCCACTTATGTGGATGTCTTCTACCTATGATACTTTGAGGACTTTGAGCAGATCTATGAGCACAACTGGGGCCACTTTTTTGGTCTATTTATACTCTAAGTTATCTGAGGGTTGTAGGTGGAAGACGAAGCAGGTGACAGGAAACATCACACTTTTGACGGTAATATTTATTGGTCTTTTAGTGTTTGTGTCATTTTCATTACATTTTTGCAACACCCTTACTAATGATTTACGTGTTCCAACAATTTTTAGACTTGGATCCTCCAGCACTTCCCTTACATCTCCGACTGGTTGTGTATACCAACCTATACTGAGGATATGTCGTATGCTTCTGCATTTTTCCCACTCAGAGGGAACCAGTCGGCAGAGCTGTTTCGAGTGTATATTGACATCTTGGTAGTAGAAGATATGTACTTTAACACCTATGCGAATCACTGTGAGACGCGACCATTTGACGATATAGTCTTATACTTGAGATGGTTGGCTTGCGGTTCAAGTGTGAAATTTCCTCACCTGTCTGAGTGTGTCATGCGGCGGTTCGGCTACACCCAGACTATTCTTAGACATCATATTGTCTCTGTTTATCCTACTATGACACGTTGAGATATGGATGCCACGTTTGATGATTATCTTAGTCATCTGGTACTGGAGGAGGCACGTAGTACCATAGTTGAGAGCGAATGGAGCTATGTAGACGGGTACATTAGGTGGTTCTCGTAACACCCCTTTTCTACCCCAAAAATATCAAGGCAAAATAACACAGAAATCAGAGTGAATAAATAAATCTCATTAAAAATCCACTCAAAGGGCGTACATTTCTCAAAGTCATCAAAATAAGTTCATACACCGTAACTACGAGTTTTTTCCAAAGTACATCAAAACATCATAAACAGCGGAACTCAAAACATAAATCCAAGTTTTCCTCAAAAATGGAAATTAATCAAAATAACGTCAACAACATAAAATCAACTCCAGGAACCCAACCCGATGTTACATATCAGAGCAAGACCCACTAAAACACTCAAAAACTTCAAAACTAACTTCTCGCCTGCGTCCACGGCTAAACTGGATCATCTGCATGTTACCCACGTAGAGGTAACATTCAAACAGGCAAGGTGAGTAAAACAATTCATAATAATCAATGTATAACAATTAATGCATAAACGGAATCATAATCATATTCAACACATTCATATCCTCAAATATGCCTCAAAGGCCACAACGTCATAATTTATACAAAAGACTCATAAACGCAAGGCAACACAACCCAATGCATGTGGTACCAATCATCACAATGCGATGGACACTAGGCCATCAACCCTCCATAGATCCCCATCAATAGGATCGATTCTACTAGAGAACCGGAGCACATCAAAATACTTCACATCCACACATTGGGATTGAAGCCAAAGCAATCGAGGTCCTGAACCGAAGTCCGGATGCACATGAATGCATGATGCACACGTCACAATAATAATCCTCACAATACAGCATATGGTGCATCATCATTCATCATACTCATCATCATCACATAAAATCATCATATCTCATGTTATCACATAGTTCATCAAATCATAGTAATTTCACCATATTAACTCAATCGATACATCATAGAAAACTATCATAACATCATGTACACATCACCCAAAACCCACTGTTATACTCGGGGTAATCCATCCCATAAATCCCAAAATTACACATCAAGCCATCGTGCAAAACGATCAAATTTCGCAAACTCTGCTACATTCGTTGGCTTGCTTGCTAGGCAAGTCTGTAGCGAGCCTTCGCTGGCTTGCTCGCTAGGCAAGTCTTCGCTGGCGTGCTTGTCGCTACTCGAAAAATGCATCGTGCAACGACGGGGAGGCGAAAAAGATAGGACAGAAGAGTCGCCACCGAACTTTATTTATCCCATGAGGGGAAAGGAAAATATCGAGAAAACCTTAAGAAAGAAATGGATAAGATGGTCTCGCAACCAAGAACGGGTTCGGAAGCCGGTTATGCGAAGGGAAGGTATTAGCACCCCTCGCATCCATCGTACTCGATGGGAACCTTTTGTTTGTCGATGTGTGAATTTATTTGCTTAAATATTATGCTATAAAAAGAGTGTTCTAAAAGATAGAGAGAAGGGTTTAGAAACGCGAAAAGAGAGGTAACAGAGGGAGAAAAGAGAAAGAACAGACTCGGTAGGACTTCGCGGTCCTAGGCCTACGTATTCTCAACAGATATGAGAAAGTCAGAGTCGACGTAGTTCGGGGAACTACGGGTGATAGGGGGGATGTGCTCGCCAAGACATCGCCGTCTTGTGCCTACGTATTCTCATCTGGTATGAGAAATCAGAGCAGCCGTAGTTCGGCTAACTACGGGTGAAAGGTGAAAAAGGGAGCTCGCCAAGACATCGCCGTCTTGTGCCTACGTATTCTCATCTGACATGAGAAATCAGAGCAAACGTAGTTCGTGCTACTACGGGTAACCGGTGTTTTTTATGGATGATGCTATCGTGCGCATTCTAGCAGTTAGGTGTTTTGCTGCTCGCTCGTTGGAGACTTAGGCATTACCTGTTTGCGGTAGAACGGACGTAACATATCCTTTTGAAAGATTGATTAGTTTTCGCCACGCGGGGCAAGAAGTCACGTTTGATTGATTGGATTGTTTTTTAGGGGGCGAGACATGTCCTCGGATAGTAACCCCTACGGGTAGTACCCAATTCGTTATCTCAAAGTTTTTGTTATAAAAAGGTGTGGCGAACTAGGCGTCTTTGTATTGAAAGACGAGCGTCGAAACCACCCTCACTACAGTGGGCATCCCAACACTCGAAGAAGAAGAGGTCTACACCCAATCCTCTCTCTTTAATTCAATGCAAAGAGAACTTCGTTCTCTTATTAAAGATGTTTTTGGTTTTGAATGGTAAGTGCTTTGCGACAAAGAACCCTACGGTAAACGTCAGCACTCGGGATAGGAGAAGGCCTACGCCTAACCACTCCACGACCATTCAAGTTTATTGTTATGAAAAGATTTGAAAATGCACTCGGTATAAGACCGAGGTTTTAGGTGTGAAAATTGTGGAAGGAAGTTGTGAAAGCGAGATGGTGGATAAAGAAGTCACGTCTTCGTATTGAAAGACGAGTGTCGAGACCACCCTCACTACAGTGGGCATCCCAACATTCGGAGAGGAAGAGGTCTACACCTAATCCTCTCTTTTTAATTCAATACAAAGAGAAATTAGTTTATTATTGAAAGTGTTTTCGAAGATACACTCGGTACGGGACCGAGGTCTTAGGAGAAAAAACGTTGAAAAGAAATGGTCTCAGATCCAACGTCATTTATCAATGGTTTGACTTAATAACGGTTTACGGAAGTCTCCTCATAGACCCAAACGGAAAATGGGACAAAATTCCCAAAAAGAAAAGAGAGATGTGATCTATCTTAAAAACTTAAATTACGAATAAAACTTAAGAAATTTTCTAAGAAAGTTATTTAAAAGAATATCTAACTCTAAAAATATACATATTCTAAAATATTAAA